CCGTTGCAGGCACTTCGATAATCGTCGTGACAGTCGAGGTATCAGTCACCGTCTTGGGACCGACTGTGACCGTCGTCCTCTTGGTTGAAGTGGCGGTGAGAGTTGCCGTCGCCGTCTTAGTTATAGATACGACTTTGGTCTTGGGCGTGACGATATGACTGCATGCTGACGAGACCTTTTGCTCTGCAAATGGCAACCATTTCGGCAAGTGACCGTGACCGTCACCTCCCCTTTTCGCAAGATTCTGGACGGAAGCTGTGTGAAGGTAGGTGGTAGTTACAGTCGTCGTAATGGTCCTATTATGGAATGAGAACAGGAGAATCAAGGGCAACATGATTGCTTACAGTGATGCAGTGTCTGTCTTCGTGGTTGTAGCTGTGACGGAATGGGTCAATAATGCCTCCCAGAGAATTTAGAAGAACGACTGACCAGTGACAGTAGCGACAGTAGATGTAGTAGTTCCAGTGCTGGTAGTCGTCGTGCTCACAGTAGTGGTTCCAAGGTCGGTGGTCGACGTCGCGGTCGTTGTAGCAGTGGCTAGAGTTTTAGACGTGGTCCGAGTGCTGGTCTTCGTCGTGGTGGCACCATACGGGACGATATGAAGCCATTCGGAACAAAATTGCTGCGCTTGATTTTTGAGCAGTGCTTCGATGACTGAATCGCCGTGATTCTGGTCATGATGCCACGGGTCATTATGACCACCTCGACCATGACCGTTATCCCATGAGCGGATGTCGCCCTTGTCCCTATGCCGGTCTTTGTCGTGACGCTTCGCTTGAGTTCCAGGGATTAGCAGTCGCTTAGCACAGAAGAGGCTATGACGCCCTCACCGTTAGAAGGTGTTTCCTTCTCATAATGAATCCCAGTCTCGTCAATGTAGACGAGCTTCCAGGGCCCAGTAGCAGGTTTTGACGCAACAAATATCGCGCATGCCAGAAGGCAAACAGGGAGGAGGAGTCGGGCTATGATCGACATGGATTGTGAACGGGGGGAGATCCAGAGGAAGCTGGCGAGGCCAAAAGTTTTTTCTATAATCATTTCTTACTCTTGCGGAGCCAGACATCACACCAGGCACCGATTTTCAATCCGATCTCCGTTGAGCCTCGAGGTAGTACATAGGTACAACATGCGTCGGTACGACGTCGAGCCAACAAGCTAGGTCCCATACTTTTGAATGTCGCAATAAGGGTGACCCCTTTCCTCGAGGGTAACTTGACGTAGCCGCAGAGCTCAACGACCTAAGTTCTCAGTTAGCCACGGCCCAGCGCACCAGCGATCGAGCTACAAAGGGCAGAGAACATAAGACGTAAGAGCTTCAACGTTCAACATTCAACAAGGAACGGTCAACTCAGGCTCGAGGAAGGCACAAGGTCAATCATCTTGCCTGAATTATGTAATCCATATCGGAATATTCCGTCAACGAGCTTTGCAAGTTGCCCTCCACACCAACCATGAACGTACGCCCCCCACGTATTCTTGCCACCTATATTCTGACTTTGGAATGAAGATATCTTTGGTTCAAGGCAGATACTGTAATTTCAATATCGCAAACGCCTTGTGAAGAACAGAACGGCCTTCTGAACGTTCAGGCACACATCCCCTGGGTCGGAGGCATGAACTTGCCGAGATTCATTCACCCTCAGATATCGACGAAGATGTCTCCCTATAGCCACCTTTAGAAGGTCTATTAGCTCCTTCTCGAGTATGCGACCCGAAGCGGTTTTTCTATGGCTAGTCCCCGGTCCACTCAAGGCTCGCACTGATGCAACCCGGCTACTTACGCATACGAACGAGGCCGGCAGGGTTGGCGACCTGCGTACATAATGGTAGGAGGTCTGAACTCATCTATTATCGGAGGCGGTGGTCCTCAAGTCAACCACTGGCCATTACCTTGGTGTCGTTAAGGATATTTGGGCCTACTGTCGACGTTGAATTAATTTCAAAGCCGCTATCCTGGATATTCTTTCCAGGCAATCGCTCTGAATCGATGGGCCAGCCTATATCGATTTGGCCGTCCTGTCCGAGGCGAGGAAAGCAGCTATGCTCTGGACGGCTTCGAGCTCCAGAGAGAAGTAGTATCTGTAACATCCGCCGTTCACATGTATGTAATCTCTTTTTCTACTTCTGGATGCGCCGTCTGACCCTCTTCACTGGCCTGGTGAGCACTTAGCGTCGATGTGATAGCCAAGTAAGGTTCGTTTCTCTCCCAAACTTCTAGCGCCAAGTTGACATGCCTTCGTTACAGTGTTTCATTCGGTGTTCATCTACTTCTGGTCATACCGGGCTTTCTTTCCCATCGAACTCCCTCAGTCGTCGCAACCTACAGTCACCTCTCATGGCTCAGGACAGCCAAGGGCCATTCGTCATATTCAATCCCCCATGTGGTCTGGGCGTGCCCGCCTGCCCCTCCTTTCCGATGCGGAGCGGGAGCAGGGGCATAACCACGCCAAACCCATTTTTGGCGAGCCAATGGAAGAATTGGTCGCCAGTGATACTCGTCAAGGATTTCAGCGAGCTACATGAACCAGCTTCGTTCAATTCGCTCTCAGATGACTCCTGGACGGAAATGTGGCGCGGATTTACAGCGATTTCATATTCGGCACTAGGCACGCAGATAATGATACCAATCCAGTTAGATAGACAAGGACGCGTAGATTAAAAAGTATATAGTTGTACATAGCGAACCCACCATAGGGCAAGGCCCCAACGGGTTAATGAATAAAAAAAAAAAAAAAAAAAAAAAAAAATGATAAGTCGCCAGCCAGAGGGAGAGCCTGGAGAAAGTGCAACATTACTATATCCGGCGGATGCTGGGTATCCAGGCACGGTCCATGCGGGCGGTGCTCTTCTCTGAGACTGGCTTGCTGCCCATCAGGTATCGGCGGATAATACTGGCGCTGAAGTATCTGCTCCACGTTGTCACTCTCCCTCTTGACCGCCTGGTCGTCAGGGCAATGAGGGAATCCTATCAATTAGCACTGCAGGGACATGCGTCATGGTTCACGGACTTGAGGATCGTACTTGCGAACCTGCCTGTCCCGGTCATCTGGTTCCTGCCGGACGGTGGGCTTATGCAGCGGGAAGTGGAAGAACTGGTACTTAAAGTCCAGTGTTCTGCTGATGAATGGATTGACGGTGTCATACTGTCCTCCGACAAAACACGGGACCTCTTGACAGGGCGCTTGGAGATGGAGGGTGACAAGCTGGTCAAGAAGGTAATGTCATTCCGTCACTACTTACGGGTGAAGACTCCTAAGCACAGGAAGGCCTTGACACGTCTCGTACTGTCGTGCCATGACCTGGCCATGGAGCGCCTACGGTGGGGTGAGCGGCGCCGAGATCCGGTTGCTAAACAGTTTCGCATCTGTAGGTTTTGTAAGGACGGCCTGGAAGATGCGGTACATGCCATGATTACTTGCCCGCATGGCCCTCTGGTCACTCTCCGCGATGACTTCTGGCGCAAAGTCGACATTTCTCTGCCCGGCTTCCGTGCCAAGCACCACGACCCCGGTGCCCTGTTGCGTGACCTGCTTGCGCAAAGGGGTACTATTTCTCTGCTTGCTATGCTTGCATATGACATTCTCGAGGTTTTTTACGCTGAGCCAATATATTTATACCGGGGGGAGGATGCCCCCCCCGCGTAGCTGAAGTATCTCTATATCTGCATCTAAATATCTGCATGCGTATTCTTGGGAAGAGAAGACAATGCGTAGTGCTTGACGTCCTGGATCGCGGGGAGTTATGTCTGACACGTGGGGAACCGCGGTCAGACTCCCACAGGGTTTTACCCGTGCTATCCTGCCGAATTGGCCAGGGATTCTGCATCTCTTTCGTGGTTGTTTTCACACTCTCTGGTGGGTACGTGTGTACTGCGGGTTTGTGAAGTAGTTATCGCGTCAAACTTTGGTACATAACTTACATAAGTAGCAACCGTGGTGAACTGGTTGTTCCGACTGGGGACCTTGCCAGTATAATATACTCCTCCTCCTCCTCCAATCTCTTCATCGATTATCCTCGCCCGGTCTTTGACGTCTCTACGTGCTTCAATTTCTTGCTCCCGGGATGTTCCTGACACTGATTCGGAAAACGTGCTCAAACGTCGAGCCCGGCCGGGAGTTTAAGGTATAGAGACTGCCAGAGCCTTGCCTCGACATGCTTGTCTTGCAGATACATAACGGCGCCCTACTTGAAGAAGTCTTAGCCGGATCAAGGGTATGCTAGCTACGGTGCCTCTGATCTGTAGTAAAACTAAAGCGATGGGTAGAACCAGCGTGGAAGTAGTACAACTTGTCGATGAACATTGAGTTATGTTAAGGTTTGCCCGACCAATTCTGTCGTCTTTGCTAGTATATCGGTTAGTACACGCGCTTGTCATGCGAGTGACCACACTTCGTGCAGTCGCGCGAAAGCTGGGTTCGACTCCCAGGCAGAGAGTTTTTTCTTTTTCTTTTGGCACCGCCATGCTATTACCTACCCTAGGGCCTAGATACTTTGTGCAGCATGGGACAACCAAGCCATAGTCCTACTTTCCAGCGGCGACTATTAAGTGACATCTGACCCTCGGAGCCTCTGGGCACGCGCCCCGATTCCAAGCTAAAACAACCAGTAAACAAACACCTGGTTGAAAGGCGCTCGCATTCCAGGAGGAAGTAACAAATGCATACGACTCCGATATGTGTGGCCACTGGCCATTGGCAGGCCTCTGATGATAATGATCATTTCATTTATACAGATATGAGTCTCAGGGGTCAAACATAAGATGGACTACAGTACGTGTTCCTCGGAGTGTACATACTGTGGTCACCACAATTGTCAGGCCAGTGTAAGAAACAGTGCAATCACGATCTTTTTTGAGAGAAGCCAGATCAAGGGTATGCTAGCTATGTTGCCTTCCATCTATAGTAAAATCAAAGCGTAGGGTAGGACCAGCGTGGAAGTAAGTAGTACAACTTGTCGATGCACATTAGGTTATGTTATTGTTTGCCTGATCTATTCTGTCGTCTTTGCTAGTATATCGGTTAGTACACGCGCTTGTCATATCTAAGCGTGTAATGAATTGATCGCGCGAAAGCTGGGTTCGACTCCCAGGCAGAGAGTTTTTTCTTGTTCTTTTGGCACCGCCATGCTATCCCCTACCCTAGACATATTGTGCAGCCGGGGACAACCAAGCCATATTCCTACTTTCCCGTGAGTATTAAGTGACATCTGACCCCCGGAGCCTGTGGGCACGCCAGAGTCTACCCCTGTTCCAAGCTAGAACAACCAGCAAGCGCCTGGCTGGATTAACCCTTGACTCCATCAGATACATGGAGGCACTGCGAGGCAAGGATTGGTCCAATCGATATATTTCAGTCTGTTTATTATATTCAGAAGATCTACAAGATAAGGCATGGTATAACTCGTCAAGATGGTATCAAAAAAGCAGCAGCATAGCATATAAACAAGTCAAGAAAACCGCCACCATCCAAAACGGCCTACCACCCTGACACGTCTCTTTAATCCTGCGTAACCCACCCATCAAGATCCCTCATCACCCCATTGATCCCCACCACCTCCAACCTCGAACACCTTTTGAAAATGGCGCTTATATACGCCAGCCTCTCCCCAGGCTCCGTCGGCCCGTCCTGTGACGGCGAGCGCATCACCACCTCTTTCAGGGCGGGGAACAGCCCCATCCACCTCGGAAGGCGCGCAACAACCTCGGCTGGGAGGCGATACTGCGTGATGTGCAGATCGAGCCGCGAGATGTACTGCATGAGCGCGATGAGGCGGGTATCGGGCGCGACATCGAGCAGCATCCAGTCGTCGGAGCTGGATTCGAAAGAGAGCTCGAGAGTGAGCTCGACGCGCGCGGGTCCGGGCCCGCCGAGGAGCCGGGGGACGATGGGCAGGAGGGTGTTATTCATGATCCCGAAATCGAAATGGCGTCCGTGGTGGACACGTGCGATTATGGAGAGGGTTTTGAGTGCCGGGAGGGAGCTATCCAGTGCGAGGAGGTGGTTTAGGTAGACTGGAGCGGCTGAGAGGTGTGTTGCGCTACAGAGGAAGTCGCTCGGTGGCAAAGCTTCTGACGGAGGCTCACGAAGGCTGCGACCGAGGTAAAGGCGCTGAACGTGGGGGTGCCGCTGCAGAAAGTCAGTAAGTTCGGGGTATCGTATGGAGCACAAGTCGATAGACAGGGCGGAGAGGAGGGGTAGGGCAATAGATGGCAGGATGATGGCCCACGCCTCCGGGTGTATATCGAGGTTTCTCAAGGATAGTGTGGAAATACTTGATGTATTGAGCGTTCGTATGGTCCACGTGCAGAGCTCGGCCTGCAATAGCATGGCTGAGTGAAGGTTGAAGGTCTCAAGGAGCCCGGCCATACGAGGCCTCGTCGTTGCTTCCTTTCCCTTCCCCAAGAGATTCCGGATTCCACTGGCCAGGCAGTCCATCACGGAATTCTTGCGAAAACACCAAGAAAAGCGCCCCGCACTCGGTATAAAGGATGCCAACTCTTCCGGGCACGAGAATGTGCCCCATCCCGAGAGGCACACAGTCAAAGTCCTACACCCTTTCGCAAGAATCGCATCAAGGAGCACCTGGAACTCCATCGCCCAGTCCACATCCACCCCCTCCATCTCCGCGTCCCCCATAGCTTCGGACACCCGCTCCCTCCAATCAGCATCTACCGCTATACGGTCCCGATTTCCAAAACGGCGTAGATTCGTGAAGTCCAGATGCGCCTCGTGCAGCACCCCCAAGCGCTCCACCAACCGTACGAGGCCGCGCACGTACTTGAGGACCGGGCGCTCAAAATTGAAGGTGCACCATACGCATTTAAGCGTGGGACGGAAGAGAGCGATCGAGAGGGCTTGCAGCACGTCTTCGGAGCGCTCGTCGAAAAGCACGAGCTCGCCTGTGAATGGACTCATGCCCTTGCGCGCAAGGTAGATCGGGAGGGCGAGGTGGTGGAGACGCCTCGAGAGCTGCGCGAGTGTGTAAAGGTCATCTTCTATATGCTCGAATATGGAGAGGAGGATTTCGTTTGGGAGGTCCAGGAGCCCAAGGGGTACAGTGCGACAAACTGGCTTGAATTCAGTGCTCGAGGGCTCCTTGGACTCAACCACCCAGAGTATAGCTAAAAGCTCATCTATGAAGTTTCTGTCGACCGTGACAACGGGCTTGGTGGTAGCTAGGTCGCGGTGGTGTACATCCTGAGTAGTTCGTTACCACGAGCATGTTTGGGAAAACTTGAGACTTACCATGATACCCTGATTGTCAGTATAACTAGGCGCTCCTGTAAAAAGGAAGCAGACCTCGAGTCCACCCCATAATCACCGTAACACCAATTAAGACGTCAATGAAGCCGAAGAGGCGCTTCAAGTTGTTGACTGTGCTTTGGGGTCCCCGGAAGGCTGTGCCTCAGCGCCAACACACCCCAGCAGCCATCTCATCACGTTAACCAAGTTGGGGCGTTAGAATGGTATATATACAGCCAAATGTGTATGGTTCCGAATCGAAGTATGAACAAAAAAAGGATATTACAGTATGTAGAGAGTGAGGAGGAGAGGAAGAACGTGATGTATACCTACATACACCCCAAGACATGTCCCGCAGATGCGCTGCGACTTGGAAAACCCGCAACATCGCCTCTTAGCCTACAACTCCAAGTGCTTAGCAGCACTTGCCTCCTTGGTTGGCGTTCGAATCCACGCTATGTCCCACGCTGATGCTCTCCTTGGGCGGCTCGATGTTTGTGGTCGAAGATTCCAGCGATTTGCTGGATACGATGCGGTAGATATCTGGTAAATCAGGCTTAGCAAAGATCGCAGATAGAGATAAAGACCGTGAACATACCGGTGAGAATGGTCTGGAAAGCTCCTTCGACATTAGAGGCGTCCAGCGCCGATGTCTCAATGAATGAAAGCCCGTTCTCAGCTACAATAACGCCATCTGATCAGAATCGCCTTGTGGACCAAAAAGAATCTGAAACGCACTCGAAAACGCCTTTGCCTCCTCAGTTGGCACAGCCCGCAGGTGCTTCAAATCGCTCTTGTTGCCGACGAGCATGATGACGATGTTCGAGTCGGCGTGGTCCCTCAGCTCTTTCAACCACCGTGTGACGTTGACATAGGTTGCGTGTTTCGCAATGTCGTATACAAGCAGTGCGCCGACTGCACCCCGGTAATATCTAAACACAATCCGACAGTCAATAACGCTCCCAGTATAGTCGGTCCCAAGGGTGTACTGACGCTGATGTGATGGCGCGGTACCGCTCCTGACCGGCTGAAAAGAGGATAATGTCAGTAAAATTAAGCTAGACAAGGGCGAGCCCTGGAGCCTATAACGGCTTACCTGTGTCCCAAATCTGCGCCTTTACTGTCTTCCCGTCAACGTTGATCGACCTTGTCGCAAATTCGACGCCAATTGTCGACTTGGACTCGAGGTTGAATTCATTACGTGTGAATCGCGAGAGCACTGCAGCAGGTCAGCGAACACGCCCTGGGCCGAATAGCGCTAGTACTCACGATTGCTAAAAGGAAATCAGGTCAGCCGGCTTATCTTGAATCAACGAGGATGAAAACGCACGATTTTCCGACGCCAGAGTCACCAATAAGAACAACCTGTATGGCCTCATATTAATCCCGCCCTTCTGCCATTAGCAACAGCTGGCATACCTTGAAGAGATAATCGTAGTTGCTGCCTTCAGTCATGTTTGCTCGTGGATTGGGTGGTTTGTATCGGGGATGGCGAGGGATGTATTGAGAGTTGCGATGTTTCGTCTCAAACCTCTGATGAACCGAGGTCTGGTGCGGAGTTTGAAATTCCTTGGTGGTCCGCCGGTTATACATTGATTGCTCCTCCTCCCCCTCCTCAAACACGCCCTTTAAACACGAATCTCTAACGGCATCGCAGTAATCCTCCTGTTATGCTGTGTATACGGCAACCACCTTTTCTATCCTGCCTTGGAGCTGCAGCCCACCCCACCTGACCAGGCCTTGGCGACTGCCATTTATCGGGTCATGTCATAGGCTCACACCGCATCTTGTGCCAATTTTCTCCACCACCTTACTGCGGTTGCGGATCATTCTAGGTGTTCTGGCGCGTCAATCAGTCCTCGTTTCTCAACGGACCCCGTCGCGTTGTGCTTCTTCACCATGGGACCATCAGCGGGCCTTTCGGGCCGCTGCCTTTTAATCCTCTGAGTCTGAGGTGCTGTTTGAACTCGAACACCCAGGTCTTTCGAGCTGTGAACTCGCCCACGACGACAGAATCATTTCCATTCCAATGTCCAAGCGTGTCTGTCAAATAATCAAAGTCCGTTGTCATTTTATCGATGTCGGCTATCCGTCACATCTGACAGCTCTCCCCAGCTCAAGCCCGCCGCGGAGGCAGCCTACAAAGAGATCCATGCCGCAGTATGGCCGGCCGTCCTTGCTGCACTGGAGCGTGCGCACATCATCGATTATTCGATTCACCACTATCCACCTCTCCAGCTTCTGATCGCGACGTTCAAATATGTCGGAGACGACTACGAAGGAGATATGAAGAAAGTCGCGGAGGATCCCGAGACGCAAAGGTGGTGGAAGGTGACCGAGGGGATGCAGGAGAGCTTCGAAAAGGGTGCCGAAGGAAGCGGGAAGGATACGCCTTGGTGGACGGTACGCATGCAATACGGTATCGCAGGAAGCTATGTCTGATCCTTGGTCTACAGGAACTGGAAGAGGTATTCAGGTTCGAAGGGAAAGCCTAGTTTACCGTCCAATCGTTTCGTGTTGTGTGGATAAGCTATTTTCCAGAAAGAACGACCATTTAAAACCCTTTTCTTGGGTTCACACTCGCTACCTTATCCACCAGGCTACATTACCTGGCCCTCCCGGTGTATTTTCAGCTCCACGGCTTTCCATACCGCATCTGGAGAGTTGCTACTCGACGCCAAGGCTCTGGAAGCCCTTCCAGGCCTGCAAATCAGCCTCTTCCTGGGCACGTTTCGATGTCTTACTTGCACATTCCCGACAGCCGAAGACGCCTTTCTGAAGAGTATAACAAGGCTACGCGCAGCGTTAACGCGCTTCGCGTATTTGGAAGAGGTCATACTCAAATTTTACCCAAT